GATCATTCAAGTGACACTAATTTCTAAAGACAATAATGAGGACAACAAACAAACAATACAAGAACAAAAAACATCACATATACCCAGATTGGATGTCTTTGGTATACAACCCAGAAATTGCTACAACATGTATAACAAAGAAACATGCACCCAAGAACTGAAGTTTCAGAACAACACCTGATCGAGCGAGTCAAAGATCGAGATTGGATGGATTGAGAAACTTAACCTGAGATCGATTGAGTACAACAACAGGAACCGATTGAAGACGGCAAGAAGGAAGAGGACTGATAGGTTTTCCATTTGGGGGATTGAGAGAGATTCGAGTGATTGAGCATGATCTGGAGCGATTGAGTGTGATCTAGAGTTTATTTGATTGAGATAGATTGGAGCAACTGAGAGTGATCTAACTGATTTCAACGAGGGGAAGCGTTAAGCGCCAAACAGAGGAGGGGTTACCTCTTATTATTTCAGAACACACTTTGGTGGCGTTTGTTTTTTAAGAGGTGCTGAAGTCTGATTTCACTTCTGATTTTTAAGAGGTGGTGCTGAAGTCTAAAATCTGAATCAGTCAAACTGTTTGTTTTTGTAAACTGACAAACGTCTGAAGTCTGAAATCTGAATCAATAGTTTGCTTTTGAAATCTGAATCAATATGTATAATTTCTGATTTCACTTCTGTTTATGTTCCCAATATTTCTTTAATTCTTCCTTCTCCTCCACATCAAGTCTTCCATCCTCAATCTCCACCCTCATCCCACCACCATCAACCACCGTCCACCACCACTCCTTCTCTAAAATCCAACGCCCAAATCCACCTCTAAAATCGAAGCAAATCTCCATCATGATGAAAACTACAGGGACGAAAATACCTTGATTCACGAGGATAAAAGTGCACAACTACTGGTTTGCACAGGAACGAAAACACAGTGGCAAAAACCCACAGAGAAGAAAACCCTCTTGATTTGGATCGGATTTGGGTCGATTTGAAGCCACCAGAGGCGATCGAGGGTGAAGTCGATCGATTGAGACGGTAAGGAGGGTGAAGTCGATCGATTGAGAGGGTGAAGTCGATCGAATGATGAAGTAGAAATCGGTTCTCTGGATAGTTTTTAGGATTAAGAGGAAAATAAGTGGCTAGGTTATCACTTAATTTTTAAGAGGAAAATAAGTGATAAGTGGCTCTGAAAGAAAAAGAAAAACAAACAGTCTGAATTGCCTTATGTCTGACCGAATCAGACATAAGTGGTAAAATAAGAGCTTTTTTCAAAAAACAAACACCACCTTAGACTTAAAGAGGCTCTTATCATAAAAGAAAAACAAACAATCTGAATATCAAACATTTTACTAAATCAGACATAAGAGGCTCAAACCTCTTACCAAATCAAACATAAGAGACTATTAAGTGGAAATTTTGAAAAACAAACAAACAAAGCTTTATTCTTAAAATTTTATTTTCACATTCCATCAAAGTGTACAATGACAATCACTAAACACGAATCAAGTTATAAGAACATGAACAATTGCTTGATTTTGAGCTTTCAGAACGTATTGGTTCATGTGAATAAACCACTAACTCAAACACCCACCGTTGTTCATCGGTGAAAAAGATGGAAAAAAATTTCAAAAAAAATCATAAATTCATACTAAAGAATATTTTTAAGCAGCCAGATGTTGAAACCTATCTTTTTTGTATTGGTGATAAAAGTTTTAAGGCATAAACTCCATCACAAATTCATACTCTATCGACACATAAACACATTATAATTATATAAAAAAAACCTAGCCTTTTGTAGGTGGAACCTTTGTCATCGATCGATACCTTTTCAAACGGTTCAACTTCATGGCAAAGAAAGTTGTATACTAATCCACCAAGTGCGATATAATAATATCTACATCCACACAAACTCAAGTCATCAAAAACCTGCAAGAAATACAAGAATTACATTAACTCTACTCTTTTAACAAACAACCATCAACATAAGCAAAAACCAAATATATTTGTTCTGCAAGCCGAGGGTTTACACGGAAACAACCTCTGTATCCCTTGGTGGAAACTATTAGCCACCCTGCCTCTGTGTGGGATTTACTAGATCTGTTTAAAACCCGATATAAGTGGGATCATGAAGCTGCTTGCAAGCAGATTGCAAGATTTATCCACCCTTCTTGTGAGTTATGACAATCAGGAATGCATACTAACAGGGATTCACACTAATAGGTCAAGATATTGAAGTTTTTTTTAACTTCAGTAATAGAAGTGTTTTCTAGACTTTATTTTATGTATTTACAAATGTATACAATCATTAAAAGAGACTCATAATCATGTTTATACTTAAATACATAATTTACTATAGGATCATTAAAGTTGCATTTGGTACATGGATTGGACTAAACCAAACGGGATTAGTTGTCTACATGTTGTTCGGTAAGACTGGTACAGGATGAGACAAAATGTTAAAATGATCAGTTTGTCCCTAGAGTGTAGCATTTAACGTTCTTTTACCACATAATAATTATAAAAGAACAATAATTGTATCATCTTTGGAAAACTTCCCAACTCCGTGTATGTCAAATCCTTAAACTTAATGTCTTCAATTTCAAGTAAAAAAGATAGATAATCGAACACCCACTCCGACAGGGACTTCCAATAGCATAATGAGCAAGGACTATTTAAACTTAACTAGGGTTTTGGCATTTGTATTAACATAAAACAATGGAATCATATGAGAAAAAAAATGGTATTGTGAATAGGGTTTCAATCAGAAAACACAGTCGTAAGATTGCTTGACTTGGGTGGTTGGCATCATCAAGTGCCATTGTTGTTAATAGGGGAAGCCGGAAGCCTCAAAGTTAGGGTCATTTAGATATATAACTTTAAATGATATTTTAATTAAATTCATGACCTCCTAGACCTATTATAAGAAAAATGACTTCATACTCATCAGAAGGTCATGAATTTAATTAAAATCTCATTTAAGGTTATATACCAAAGTATCTCCTTGAAGTTATGGTGGGATTGAAGAGAACAAAAATTAGGGTAAAAGTGTCCCATGTTGTTCCAGGGTTTTTGGTGGGACAAGAATATATCAAATTTGTCCCACAGTGTCCCAAGTTTATGCCTTGTTAAACGTGGGGAAAAACCTTTGTGTCATCTTGTCTCAAGTACCAAATGCATCCTAACATGATATTCCATATCCATGCCAAAAGCTTTTTGTGAGTCACGTTTGTTAGGCAAGCAAGCACGAGTACTTCATATACTAGGTATATTCTTGGTTTAAAAATAGATGGTTATAACCCTTAATTATGACTCACGAATATTTCAACACTTACCTTGCTCCTCGATCGTGTCACTCAAATCTAAAAGTTAAAAGTTTCTGTTAAACATGTTACATGCCCATGTTCAAACTCAGTTTTAGACTTCTTTTGAACCAATACAAGTGATAATGCTAAAGAATACTTCCAATTTAACAAACTATATGACTTCCCATCAATTTATCCATGAAATTTCTCATCTATTTGCTCCTTAGCAGAGTAGTGTCGCTGCACAAATGAACCATCATTTCTATTTTGATGCAATTCTAACCAAGTAAGGTGTTTCCAGCCCAGAAAACAAAGCCAGCAGTCCTTACACATAAGCTTTAATGAAGGGTCTAATATAGAAGCCTTATTCGTAGGAGCGACAATGTGGTTTTGTGACTTCAACATTTCTTCAACAGAACAACCCTACATATTTTTTTCCCAAGTACTAAAAAGGATTAGAGAACTACCTCATCAAATATGAAATTACATCAGCCACCAAACTAGTGAGGGAAGTGTTAGCATTCCCCCTCGGAGATGTGTGGGGGGCACATTATGAGACCGAAAAAGTTGAAAATTGATTGGAGCAGCATGAATGATGTCTGCCAAATAATAATAATCCCTCTACCCTAAAATAAATGTCCACAATAAAAAAAACACAGTTTTAGAAATGTATAATCATTACACATTTTACTTGACCAAATGAGAATTTTACCCTTATGAAATTTCTCCATCTAATCAACAGTTAACTATTCATGAGTCATAATTAAGGGTTATAACCATCTATTTTTTAAAGTGGACCCTTGTTTCGGGACAAAAAAGTGAACACATATTTTCAGATGGGGGAGTAGCAGCCTGACCAAAATAACTAAGAAACTCACATGAAGAAGAATAGCAATTAACTTTGACATGTTTCCAAATTAGGTAAAAGAATCAGTCATCTAAAACATGAGAGACCAAGATGCCCAATATATAGCATTGAGAGAGCCAATGACCAGAATTGCCACACTTTCTTCTTCCAGAAACTAGGAATGCTTCTTAGAAAATAACATGATCATCAAGCTTAACCATGTTCAGAACTTCAAACCTAAGTAAATATAGTCAAGTAGTTGCTTTGAAGAATGAAGACTCTAAATAACAACAACACTTCATCTACTTCCATACCATTATGCCTTAAACAAGATGGTATCAAAGTCACTTTTAATTTAAGATGGTATCAAAGTCACTTTCAATTTAATGTAGCATCCAAGAAATGCAAGAAGTCAAAGCAGTGTTGGAAGTGAAATGGGGGCACAAACTATATTCATCTGTAGTATATTGATATCAAAATATTTTCAGACTTGATATGTAGTCAGTCTCATCAGCCAGAAGCAGTGGCAACAATGATTAAGAGGGGGGATTTGAATGAACATGTTTATGGATTTTAAAATACCACAATCAGTAAGTGACTCGGAAATTTATCGTAGATCAACAATGGAAAATTCATGCAATTAGAGGGTAACAATAAGCAGAAAACCCACGAATCCAAAATTTATGGATTAGTATTAGTAGGGCTCAATTTGAACATGTTTATGATATAGTTATTGGGTTCAAACCTAAAGAATATTTAGATGGTAACAGTCAGCAGAAAACCCACAAATCAAAAACTTATCATCAGTAAGCATAAAATTGCTTCAACTTTCAGGTTATTGGGGAAAAATTGCTAACCAGATCAATGAAAAGGGTAGCAAATTCCAACCTAACCAACATGAAATGGACCGATATCGCCAGTACGAAGTGAAGCAGCGATTCCATCAGCAACTGTCAAGCAAGAAATCACCCAACCACTTAGCGCCATCCACACCATATTCGCCATCCAGAGTGTCATACTCCACGGCACTGCCATAATCTTAAATCCCCCACTCTACTGCTACTGATGCTCCTTTATCTTGAAAATTGGTTAGGAATTCACAAGGTTTTGAATAATACCAACAAACGAGAATCATCAATTCGACGAAAGAACTTTTATTTGAGCATTATTTCAAACACCAAGTGTGCATAAACACCGACACCCCTATTACGTGTATGGTTATCAATTAAGAGACGAATAGGAGACAGATGTTAAGGTATGGGTGAGAATATAATACATCAAGTAGGCGAATTTAGGATAATTTTGACAAACTTCTGCCACTAAATCACTCAATCAAGAGAACAACAACGCTAAACGTAAAGATAACTTCATCTATCGTTTTATTTGAAGGGTCGGATTGTTGAGAAGGACAGCAATGATAAGAGATTAGGATCAGAAGCGTCGAGGTAAGATCCACCGACATTATCAGATTAATCCTTAAATGGGTGTTTGAGATTGTTTGAAAAAATAATTTATTGAATTATTTTGGTGAATCGATAATAAGTATTTTTGAGTGTTTGTATAAACAAGTTGTATCGGTGTCAAACTGATAAATAAGTATTTTTTGAAAAAGTTAAATCCTTCTGACTTATAATAAGTTGATAAGTGTTTTTTAGAAAAAAAAAAAAAAAGTTATTTCAAATAAGCAATCTCAAACTCCAAAATGAATAAATTTGAGAATAAAGGTGATCATTTATTACACTTCACATCATTAGTATTCTAAATTAATAACTATATTTCTCAAGGAGTCCCGAGAGGTTTCCATAAGAAATGACAAAAGGAACGGAAAGGGTGGACATTGGCTGCTTTGAAGAAGTTGAACACACTTGAGGAGACGAGCAGGAGTGAGGACGAGGATAACCATAGAAAAGAGACACCGTTGAATGATACATTCGTACCTTAGAAATTGAACAATTAAGAGGTGCTTGGAACGAATCCAAGGCTATTAACATTTTACTAAACGAGTTTCAACTCCGACCTATTCAGAGGTGGATTCCGAATCAAACCCTAGAAAATGAACAATTTCATAGGTGCTTGAAATGAGTTGGAGACCATTTTTTTTTTAATAAACAGGTTTCTCCTCTAAGCGATTCAAATTACCAACGAATCCTATGGCTACACCCATATCTTGTATGTGATAGGTCGAGTTCAAATGGAAAGTAAAATTCGTTGGCTCAAGCTAGAAATTCGTCCATCCTATTTCAGGTCTCGCTTTTGACAAAATTACTTAAAGCCAAAATCAATATATTTTATAAGTCTAATGGCAACGAATTGCAAAAAAACATGTCACATGAGGTTCAAACAAGAAACTAAACATTTTATAAGAAGACGAGAAGTTTCAATATCATATATGATTACACGTATGGTACACAAGCTTAATCATATATGATTAAATACATGTTGCATTGACAACACATAAACTCTAAATCATATATGATTAAACACACCCAAAGGAGTGTAATCATATATGATATTGAGACTTCGCGCCTTCTTGCGAAATGTTTTACTTCTCGCATAATCCTTCTTATACTTTTATTTCCCCATTAGTTATAAAGTCTAGATAAAGACACCAAAATTTATAAGTCGAGGGTTTTCACGAAAACGATTTCTCCACTACTCTTTAAGGGTAGAAGAAAGGCCTGCATACATCCTTCCTTCTCTAGCCCTCTTTAATATATGTTATACGTAGTATGTTTATTTTGGTTCTTAAAGACACCAAAATGCAACCACAAGGGTGGTGCCTGATTGGTTTGAGCTTGACTCCAAATGTCAAAAGTACCAGGAGGTCCCAGGTTCAAATCCAAGAAGAAATAAAAATCCCCTTGTGGCCACGGAGGTTCAAATGCGATAACTTCGGGCTATCTACAAAGCAGGTGGTTGCCCTAAGATTAGTCGGCTCGCATGGCAGGTCATATATCCAGGTTAATTAAAAAAAAAAAAAAAAGACACACCAAAATACTTAGCAACATTGCCTGAATACTTGATTTTATTCACATATTTTATTGATGATGTGATGCTGAAACCTGAAAGCTAAATAAAGTGCCCGTCCATACATCATGCAAACCACATCTGGATATGCAGACAAGCCCTAGAACTAGGCAACTCATTCAACCATAGTATTACAATTCATCCTTGCCAGAATAGAAATGCCGAAAAGCGCAAGAGAAGTCCTTTGTTCCATGACCATCCTCGCAAAGCTTTGCGTATCTGTAACACAAGATAAACGATAACACGAAGTCTATAATTTGTTGATATTGGATGATTAGGGGAATGACTTTGTTGGAGTTACATATAGGTCAAACTTGGATAATTTCTTCTCGCTATATGTTGGAACCTCCTTTATCACCTCAATGGCTCTTCTCGAGAGTAATCTAATGTGGTTTCGCATATTTTCACATGGTATCAAACCCAGAGTCTACAACTCTAGGCACTCAGGACAACATGTGTTTGTCTAGTGTCTAGCCCCCTCTTGACATTGAGATAATCCATACCCGTCTAGCCTCTGTTGGATGGCGTGTTGAAATCCCAATATTGGCTAGACTTGGACAATTTTTTCTCAATATATGTTGAGACCTTCTTTATCACCCCCAAGAGATTTTTTGAAGAGTAATCTAATGGGATTCTACATATTCTAACACTATGGTAGTTACAAGCAACGGTTTGAACGAGGGAGGTGTTTGACATGAAGGCATGGTATTAGCTTTGAAGTGGATGGCTTGTTCCATTTCAAATGTCTACTCATATATCCCCTTGAATCAAAAAGGATTCTTGCTACTATACAGGATTTCCCAATACATCCACCTTACATGGTTCTTCATTCCAAACTAAGTGTCCTTGTTTCAATTTAAACTTGTCTCGAAATAAATGTCCATTTTAAATATAATAAATATTGATGATTTACTAAATTTCCAATTCTACCCTTTAATTATGAAGCACAAATATTTAAGAGTTGATCGGATGGTAAGAGAGAGAAGGTTTGCCTCTATCGTTAAGGGTAAAATTGTCAGTTCAGTTAATTAAAAAGTGTAATACTCACATATTTCTTAAACCAAGTCTTATTTTATTGTAAACATTTATTTTGGGATGGAAGGAGTATTATTTCTAGTCTTTTGCAAATTATAGAGGATTTTGGAGTGGTAATTCTAGCTCCATCCCTAACAAAACTGATGATCGACTCAAGAGTAAAACTAGAACAATGGAAAGCCCTCATATTTTCCGGTTCAATTCATGTTAGTTTTAATAAAGGGGTTGTTCTTACATGTCTTTTGCTTCAGATGCCAATGGGCATTTCAGACCAAGTTCTTTAGCTGATGATGAAGCAAGGTTCAAATCTTTAGCCTGCATTACATAAGATGGTTATGAGCATTCATGATGAGTACTGTAGGAATAGAGTCATAGACGTAGGAAGAAAGGTGTTCTTTTGTAAGTTTCCATGTATTCAAGTTAACGTTGACTGAAGTGAGGAATATGTAATGTCGGCATATCCTGAATTCATGTTAAAAAAGTTGCAATCAATGTGTAATGTAGATGATGACGGTATAGGATCTTCAAGTAAAGGCTCCCAAGTATTTCCTTATGCAACGATAAGAAGGAAAAAAGGAAAGAAACAGCCTTTCAGGACTAGGCATGAATCTAATTGGCATAAGAGGGAAAAATGGAAAGAAAGAATCAGATGGAAAAATTGCAAAACTAGGTAGGATCACATACCATAAGAGTAGATGCAAATCCACCATCATAATTTCTGGAGGAGGGCACCCCATCTATCACACCAGGTACGGGGTTATATGTATCACTGACAGGTACATAGATGATATTAGTATTTTTACAAGTTCTTCTAGAAACATATCTGGAAGCCAATCATAAATTCAAAATGACAGAATATAGAACAATAAGAATTATTTCTAGCATTTGGATGCTTAGTAGTAATAAGTTTGTGTTGCCATTGAGGACGAAAAAGCACAAGCCAACTACAACTCGGATGGTCGAGAGACAAAGCCTTTATAGAACTTCAAATTTGCATCTTTTGATCAGTAGAAGATGCAATTTTGAGTCAGTTCTAAGTAGTAATTTGTTTGTGTAGCCGCTGAGGGTCAAAAATCACGACCCAACCACAAATTAAATGGTAGAGACTAGAGATCCAAGCCCTTTTTTGCAAGCCAAAAGAAAAGCCCGGGCCTTTTCAGGCCTAGGCCCGACTTTTTGTGTGAAAATGGGCCCAATCGGACTTTTTAGAGCTTTTCTGGGATTTTCGGGCTTCTGAAAAAACCTTGGCTTGATCGGGATTTTTTAGGCTTGACTTGGGCTTCGGCCTGACTTGGGCTTCGGCCTTTTATTGCATCTCTAGTAGAGACAAGGCTTTATAGCACTTCAAAGCATTTTCTTATGAGTAGAAGGGCCTGATCACGGACAAAGTAAATTTAGTCTAGAATCATTGGTCAAATCCAGATTTGGCTTACAGAAAAGGGAAACACCATAATTTAAAACATCAAGTACTACCTACTCCAACAACGGGCAGTTGAAGAGTTGAATATTTTTGTTAGGGTACTGGCTGTAATGCCTAAAGACTGGCCAAGAACAAAGGCTTCAGAGACACCAAGCATACTCACAGCCATTGATAAGTTGTTGCAGATCTTAGCTGCCTGAACAGAAGTAAAACATCGACGCATGAAATCATACAGAAACACAAACAAATGCTAAAAGATGAAACTTCATGAGAACATATTATTGTAATAAACATTGTTCTTGGAAACAAGTATCTGTATTCGTTTATTATATGCATCTAGCAGAACATGAAAACACTTGGGCCCTTGGAACAGGTATGAGATTTCTAATGGGAAATCGATGTACAAAAAGCGATCAAATAATAACCAAATAAATAATATGGTACTTTCTTCTCTCGTTGCTCGAGTGAATAATTTCGTCTAATGAATAACACATGGAACATTATCTCATAAAAAAGTAATAAAAAGATATTGCAAAGTATTATAACTCAAGTAAATGTACCAGATCTTACAAGTGTGACATGATAGGGAAGAAAACAGAACAAACAAATTTTATTTGCAAATGGAGGAACTTGGTTCATACTCCCATCATCCTTTATTGTGTTGCACCTTCTAATGACACCAAAATCCATAAATTTCAAGCTCTCCATACCAACTCCATTCAAGAAAACATTATATATTTACATCTTGATAGGAGTATGATTGAGATATTAAAATGGACAATAAATTCTAGCACGGCATGAATGGTAGTGATTAGGATCCTACAAAAACTTAACAGCTTAATATATTAGTACAGATCTTAGAATTCATCAATAAAGTATACGTAAATTTTGACTGTCTTTAGGGTTTTGGCCAATTGACCAAGATAGTGTCTTTGAAAGGCATCAAATGACGAGGATGGTGTCAAATTGACTTTACAAGCCACTGAGTATTACAGTTCAGTGAGTCAAAACAGGGTTTGCCAGGGAAGTGCAATCTCATATTGCATCAGCTGACAGCACAATATGAGTGTGTTGAGGATCATGAGGTGCAGTGACTAAAATGAGCAAAATAAAACAGTGAAAGACAACCATGCAATTTCCATTCTTGATGCAGATTCAAACCACCACATTGGTAGTTGGCAGCAAGTTATTGCTGGGCTAGGATTAATTTGTTTTCTCGGTTCCATAAACAGCTACAATACCATGTAACATAAGGTTAAAATAATGCTTTGTTAATGGGCTAAGACGTGAAATCCTAAAAATATAAATCTAACATGGATATAAGTGTAGGCCCTGACAATTCAGATCAGGAATGTGAAGCACCACAGGTCAGAATATCAGATAGTTATTTCTTGGATCATCATGCACTACATGCTCACTAAATTGTCCCTTTTTGTTCAAATTTCCTTTAGCCAACAGATAGGACAGTCGTAATAAAGCCAGCTATAGATCTAACAGAAGAAACCCTTGGAATAACTCAAGTTTTTCCATTCATGTGGTAACAATATTAATAAAATTAAGAAATCTGCCCATCAAATTAAGCATAAAATGCTCCATGAGCTATACCCCTGGTCCTATCTGGCATTCTTATTTAACCTACATAGTTATAACAAGAATTGTTAATTATCTAACATAAATATATATGAAACATGAAATAATTTGCATCAATGCATCTCCTTTTTTTATAGAATACTAGAAGAGTACTCGCGCAATGCAGCGAGATACATCGTGTTTTTAATATTTCATTTTATTCTTTATCTCAGTCGATGTTATAATATGACTTTATGTGATTTTGAGAAAGCGATGCTGTTTTTATTTTTGAATAAAATA